GTGAATCTTGAATTAAGAATAAAAGTGATCAATAGATGAAATTGTTATGCTCTAATATTCATAGCATATCTGTCTCTCCAATTATCCATTGTTTGCAATTTTTTTTACTTTCAATTTGTTAAAAGTAGTTAGTCAAAATCATTATAATTATTTACTTGTTTTTGTCAAATAAGAGTTAGAAAAATCTAATTAAGACCTAAAGTATAGTACTTGTGTGAACGATAATCCAGACTCAAAGGTCCACTATATTACTTGTTACGATAACGTACATTTGCGATATAAAAAAAGGCAACATGAGTCTTCTGTAGCGGGTCCTGTACACTCTGCTTTATCCTCGTTTATTAATTCACCATTTGAAGTTGACCCACTAATTAAGCCAAGTTAGTTGTGGACCTCGTCCAATGTTGTATTAGTGGCAACCAAATTTGGTTATATATACGAATTAGATTCCAAACAAAACCGATTTGTTAGGGGAGGATTGCCCTCATCGATCATGTAAATATCACCAGTCAATGTGATATTCTAATACTTTGTTTGAGAAGATGAAATCATGATTTAATTGGGAGAAATGCGTCTTGATAGGAGAGTGAATGTGGCTGTTGTTATCTGGATTTTTGGCTAGGGTGTGGAGGAAAAGCTTTTTCAGATTGTGGTCTAAAAGATTTATGATTCAGTATATGGATTCTATTCTTGTTCTTTTGCAACTTATGATGGGACAAATAAAGAGCAACTAAATTTTTTTATACAATTCAACGAGCTCTTTATTTTTTGCTATTTGTTTTACCTTTTTCCATATTTTTAATTAACATATAATTTTAGATACCAATAGCTAAAATACCAATATAATATACTTGTTAAAAAAATTCAATATAATATGAATAATTTAAGTAGTGAGATCGAAACTTGCAATCTTATTAAATGCAATTAGGATAACATAGAGAGTGAGTTGGTCTCTCTAAATGTAGAGAAGCCAAACACACTCTATTTTAAAAAGAAAAAATGAAGTGTGGGTCATTCTTTTGATAAAATTGCACGATGCATTTCTGTAAAGAAGAGGTTAGCATCATCAGATTTATACTCGTTCCTTTGGGTTTTTATTCTTATTTTTTTTTCGGTACATCTTTCGGGCCTAAGATCTTGCAATAATGTGTGGTCCACGTGTCCTATTTTCAGATGTTTAGGGTGATTCAGAAACAAGACTGGTATACACGTCTCTCAAGATTCCAAACATTTGATTGAGGTATCAAGTTAGACCTAGCTTTTGCAAGTGGCCAAGTTGGGGTTTTTTATTTCGCCCCTGTTCGGCTCCATTGAAAACAAATTTTGAATTTACCTTTAATATTATTTTATTTGAGAATATTTGATTAAAAATAAAAGAGAGAAAAATTCATTTTTAAAATAATGGAGTTAGGGCAAAAATCTTCTATAATTTGAAAACGAGTTGAATATTCAACTTAAGGTTTTGAAGCATTCACAATCTTGCAAATTAAAAGGTATGTAGCCATAAGATGATAGTTAATGAGCAAAGATCACGAAAAGCGATTTGTTGGAATACTTACAAATGGCATAATTAGTATACTGAAAATGCTATAATTGCAAGTTTGGCAAAGTTTAATTAACTTTATATCTACACATACAAATGGTTTGGTTTGAAAATAAAATGATTTATTTTGAAAATAATTAAAAAAAAAAATCTTACTAATCGAACTGTGTTTACCCTAGTATACGACACTCA